CATAAGTCTGTCCTTAAGAAGTGGTGGTAGAGTGCTTTTAGACACTGATATCTTCCTTTATCATATAGGAGGTTCAGTCTGCAAGAAAGAATCATAAGCTTCTGAGATAGAATGGACATTTTTAGCAGAGCATTGTTTTGTAAGGGAAGGTAGGAAGGTCTGGACAGCTCTCAGGAGTCTCTTCACTAATAATATAGCAGTTATCACAACACATTATTAAAAATGATGTGTTGTAAGATACAGTTTTTGCTTCAGATGACCATGGATGCTGTAGCTGAAGTCACTACTGGGACGTGTATGGTAGACACTGATTGGAGCAAACCCCAAATTCTTGTTGTTGAAACCCCTGAAGCTGAAAGGTGATTAATTCTCTTCAGAGGAAGATCACATTCTTCACTCAGAAGTGAGAATGATGGTTCCCATGGGCTAGGTCTTCCACAACTAGTGATAAAATACACATGGGTGTTAGGTGTGGTGAGAAGTACAGTTAGAGTGTGGATACTTGTATTATACTTTCTTCTTTTCATTTCAGTGTAAGAATTGGTAGTTAAATCATGTTGATTTAAATATGGTATGTTATATGGTGCTTTGGAAAGTACAGGTTGTCAAAATGCGAAATAATTTGGAAAAGACTACTGTAGAGGAAAATGTGTCAATACTTATTATTAGCAAGGCAGAAGGGGGGAAAAAAAAGTAAAATTATATATCCATGCTCTATCTTACATGTTTAGTAAAATTACTTCTTTAAATGCATATTTAGTAGTCTGCCTGCTTTGTTCTCTGTCATTTTGTTAAGAATTCACTTTAGCAAGAGAAAAACTTAAGTACAAACACTTGAGTGGCAATGGTTACATCAAAACATTTAAGTCTTTCATTAGATAGAATCGAGGCAAAAAAAAATTACGAGCAAAGAAAAATATTCAGTGGCTCAACTTAATTTTACAAACTGCAGCTGAATTCTGTCATGTTAATTTTTAATGATACTTCAGGAAGGAGGGTAGTACTTCAGTTAGGGGGGCTGGCAAGCTTGCCATTTGCAAATTAATCAAAAGACAGTCATTACAACAGAAAGAATCAGTGAATGATGTAGTTTTGTCATTCTTTGATGGGCCCCACACTCAGGTCCTCTATTAAAAGTGAATGTATTCAAGAGGCTCTGCATTAAGAACACAAACAATTAAGGGCACTTCAGATGCTTTGCTAAGAGCTGCCTTGGAGCTAGGAGGGCTTTCATGAGAGATGCAGGCTTCCACAGTCTGCTTTACCAAGGAGCCAAAGAACACCGGCAGTAAGTCATGTTCGTCAATGCTCAAGTAGCTTTCTGCAGAATTTTCTTTGTTTACTCATTCTTCTGACTTGCCCTATATATCTCAGGATCAGCACTGAGATAATAGCTATGCAACTTTGGGTGGCCTCTAGTAGTAACTGATAAGTACCTTTCTTAAGACTTTCAAATTCATGAGCCCCAAATCTGGAATATACAGTTTACACTAATGCTACCAATTACTGATGTCTACTCTTGATTAACAAAGCTCTTCTGTACTCCTTCAAAAAAGGTGTTTGCTTTCAAGAATGAGTATATATATACACACACGTGCATATATACTTGAAGATAATTTCAACTTGAAAGGTGAACATGCATTGCTTTTTGAATAGCTAGATTTATATTTAAAGTAATGAAAGTTCTTTTTTTCTCAATTCCGAAAACAACCTCTTGAACTGTTAATAGGCAAGATTAGGTGAATTGTGCATTAAACCTTAATTTTCATAACTCTCTAGAGAATAAAAATATTTTTTGTCATAGTTGTGAATAAGAATGATTTCTACTAAACATTCAAGGCCAGGAAACAGGAGATGTATGAAATCTCATAGTGGATAAATAATTTTAAGTACTTTATTTAATTGTGTGAGGGTAATAGCTCTAGTAGGCAGACTGCTTTTTAAATGTAATTAGACTTTTATTATGAAGTATAGAACAGTCTTTTCAGTTTCTTTTCAGTGTACTGGCACTTGGAACAGCAGCAAGAAATCTCAAAATAAACTTATTTATGGCATGTACATTTACATTTATTGTGGATGGATATTAAGGATGTTGTTCGTATATGATCATCAGTGATGCCCTGCTTTGGTAAAGACAAACTCTGAAGGATACATTTTTTCATACCTGTGGTCAGTACTATCAATTTAAGCATTCTTCTGACTTAACCTTTATGTCTCAAGATCAGCAATTAGATAATAGCTGTGTTACTTTGGGAGGCCTGTAGGAGTAACTGATAAGTACCTTTCTTAAGACTTTCAAATGCATGAGCCCCAAATCTGGGATACATAGCTTACTCTAATTGTGTATATATGTATAAAATATATATACACAATAGTTTTCAAATAAGATTGACTGGTAAAGGGAGAAGGTTGATTTTTTTTTCAAAGAAAATAAAAATAACAACAAAACTAAACTAAACAAAACCTACCCCCCCAAAAAAAAAACCCAACCAAAACAACAACAAAAACAAAAAAAAAAACCAAACCAACAAACAAATTGACGTTTGTTGGGACCAGTAATTATCAGAAGATGTGGCATTCTCTTATCTGTATGCCATCCTTTATGCACAGTGAAGCTCAGATATTTGGGACTTGCACAGGAAAATCCAGTAATTTGACAGCTTGCATATTTTATAGACTCTTTTGAAACTTTTTTTTTTATTTCCTTATAGCTACTATAAGGATACTTATCTCAGTATTACAGAATAGGGAGACCTTTGTGTAGGCCATACAGGTCAAAGAACAATTTGCGTTTCTTACTTAACTTTTTTTCTTTCCCTTCTTACCACCTGCTATGATTCATCCTGGCTTCTGTCTTGAAAACAAATGTAATCCCATTGGTCTAGGGCAATTAACTTCTTGGACCCCAAACATTTTAACTAAACATCAGCCAGATAGATTGCTTGGTAATAGCCTTCCTTTCCATAGCTAATATACCTTGTTTTCTGGAGAGACATACTAAGTATGTGGAAAAATGCCCTTCAGTAAATAGATTCTCACAATTGGGGTGGCAGGGTTTGGGGGTGGAAGTGTGTGTGTGTGTTTGCGTGGTGGTTTTGTGGGGTTTTCTTTGTGTGGTTTTTGTTTTGTTTTTATTTTTTCCCCTCGCCGCTTGTTGACAGATGCTGAAAGTACCAACAGAATTGGTAACAGTTAAGTCTGGTAACTGATAATAGTTAAGCTGGTAACTTCCTTTAATTGCCTTTGCTGGTAGGTATGTAGTACCAATAATAAGGGCCATGCACAGACTGATGGATGTTTTATGGTTGTGGTCCAAACAAAACAGGAACAGGGCACTGTGGTACCTTGTGAAACAGGGCTGTTTGTGTTGAGAATAGAGATCTGTTCCCCATGTTACAGAGGTGCAAGGTTTGTTGTAAACCAGCTGTCACTTCATTGTCCTTATTTATGCAGAACCTTTTTTGTCCTAGAGAGAATCCATCCCAGAACTGCTTTGGAGACTCTTGTCTCTGCAAAACTTTAGAGTGGATGTGTCAAATGCCAGACTTTGGTTAGGTGGAATACTAGAGATTATGTCAGAGACATGGTGTTTTACAAGTTTCAGTGCTATTCAGTATTTTCCTTGTCTCTCTCAGAGGTGGGGAAAGAGGTATTAAAGTTTGCCAGTTGTATTTAGATGCCAAATCACCTGTTTGTGGAGACATACAAGTGGAGGGTGTATCCTGATTACTGCTTAACTGTTATATAAAGATCAGCACATCACAGTGTCTTCCTGAAAAACTCAGCATGATGGGAAGGCTCAGGGAAAGGTTTGGCAGACAAGTTAGCAGTACTTTCATCTGACTTTGGAGAAGTTTCTCTTTGCTCAGGTTTATGCATGTCATTTCATGGAAGGCCTAATGAGTCTCAGCAGGGATCTCTTGTTTCTTGTGCCTTAAAACAGAAAACCCAGGAAATATCTATATGTGTTAATGATATAATAGTGAGTGACAAGAGCTGTTCAGAGTGTCTTGTACATAGGCTGTGTTCACATGTAGATGCTAATTTTGATTTTGTGCAACTGTGCTACAGAGACTGCTGGAGATATTTTTAAGGAAAACTGTAGGCATTGTGCAAGTACCTTAAGGGTTAGTTATAGTGGTCGTTTTTAATAGTAGGCAGATGTATAGGCCTGAAAAGCTGTAATCACAGGTAAGACCAAGTAATGAGAGAAAAAGATCAGCATATCCCTCCAGAAATCCTGTGTTCAAGTTTACAGGCCAAAAGTGGGAGATAAGGCTGTCAAAAAGTGGGACTCAAACGCTTTGAACTGCTGTCTTCTCTGCTGCTTTCAGTGGAGGATTGTTCTGTTCTCTGCTGGTTCTTAGCCTTGTTGTTTTCCTGTTACTCATGGTTTCACTAATTTGTTGTTATTGACTATCACATTTTCTGATCTGATTCTTTTTCTTGTCTGCATTATTTTAATTCTCTCTCAATATGGATGTTTTAGAAGTCTGTATCTTTTGTCTTCGTTCTTCCTTGCCTCTATTTTGATACTTCTTCTGTACTCAGGATGGTGTGTTTCTGTCAGCAAAAATAATTTTACCTACTAATAGGCAGGTAAAATTGATCGTGAAAGAAACATTTTTCTTCCATGCCTGTCACCTTCATGTTATACTGCTTGATAATGTGAGTAATAATAATCTACCTTTTAAAAGGCTTTATCTTGGACTTAATGGTTTTAAAAAATGCTTTATTTCTTAATGAGCTATATACAAGGACCAGATTTGTGCTTAAATGTGTATACAGATTAGGTGCTTTAGACATGGCAGATGTCCTACAGTAACTTACTAAATCTCTATCCTCATATGGGCTTATATATTAACTTCTTATATTTGCAGTAGAATGATGTGGATTTTCTGTTACTTTTTTCACTGTGCGAACTTAATAGAATCTGTACACTAGTTAGTTTGTCAAAAAAATTAAACTACAGTTTTAATGAAAATACTTTTCCTTTATAGACAGAAATTGCCAAGAGATTGAATACAATTTGTGCACAAGTCATCCCATTTTTGTCTCAGGAAGTAAGTAAAACTGTTCAGCTGTTAAAGTGCAATTATGTTGCTTTTCTGTTTGCAAATTAGCTAGTTTTAAGATGTTAATTTTATCACAATACACAAGTGTAAGGAACATCTGTTATAGCTGAAGTGTGCAAACCCCCTGCTAATTTGGTCTAACAAATCTGAGTTCAGACTAGTGACAATGGCTCAGCCTCATTCACTGCCTGGGGAGAGTGGGAGTCTGTAAAATATTACCAGTGCAACAAGATGCTTTAGTTTCTAATCATGGTGATTAGTTATTTGATATTCAGTTGTCAAATGTGAATCTAGTGAAATAAGCATGCCTATCTTGTTGACATAATTTGTGTCAAATTTCAGTTGTAAAGGTGAGTAGTTAGCTCAGATGCAAAATCCTGTTTAAGGTTACTAACCTGCATCTGGTCTGAATGACTGCGATTGTAGTTTATTGTGAGCAGCTGCTGTTACATTTTGAAGCCTGTTTGTTGTTTTGGATATGGCTTTTCAAACTCGAGAGTTTACAAAGAGTATTTGTAGTTCTTGTTTAGTTCAGCATTTCTTTTCCCTGTTTGAAATTTCAGTAGGTTTTGCTCTGTGGGCACAGGGTATTTAAGTGTTAAAACTGACACTAGTGTGAAGTTGACATTATTGTCCTGTCAACTCAATTAGAAAGGGATCATTCATTTACCAGAAAATTAATACTGAAGTGGCATGGGGAAAGATGTGAGCTGGTTGCCTTCAGGACTCTTGTTTAATTTTGAACACGTAAGAAATGGGGCATTGTTGCATTTAACCTGTGTAAGATGTCTTGCAGTAGGTAGTTTGAGTTTCTGCAGACAAACTGGTTATTCTGGGGTTTGTGATCTTGGTTTGATTTGATGTGGTCAATACCTTAACACAAATTCCTCCCCATGTCCTTTCTTCTTTTAATAGCATCAGCAACAAGTGGCCCAAGCTGTAGAACGTGCCAAACAAGTGACCATGGCTGAGCTGAATGCCATCATCGGGGTACGTGGCCTTCCAGGTCTACCTCCTACAGTGTGTATAACTTGCTTTCATATCTTATTGCTTTGCTATTTTTAAAATAAGCTTGATGTTTTGATATCTCAGTGTTGCTGAAGTGTTTGCCTTGCTGCATGCAGATTTTAGCAGGAATAAAGTTAACAGTTTACCCTGTTATTCTGTACAGCAGTGCTGTGTGTAACAAACCTTTTTCTACAAGAAATATAATGATTAGGAGAACCGCTTGTTTATTTGTAGGTATTGTGTGTCAGTTGATCTAGTTACCTTTGCCTCATGCTTTTTGTGACACTTGAGTTCTTGGAGCCTGTACAACTATTCATTCTTCTTTCTTTTCCTTTCTTGTGAATCTTTCATGAATTTTAAATTAGCAAGCTACTGAAAAGAAACTTCACTTGGTTTTGAGGTAGTATTAATTGTCTTGACACAGTGTTCTAATAGCCTTTCATCATGTATGTTCTTCTAAATATGCTGCTACTTGCTTGTGACTGGTTGTCAATCACAAGTCACTTGGTTTGTATTAAGGAACTTTGACCATACATTCCTTCCACTGTATGAGTTCATTTCCCCTGCCACTAAGTCTGGAATATTTCTCATGTTTTTGCCCTTCCAGACTAAGTGAAAGAAGTAGTCGAAACAAGAACCTGTGCTTTCTGATTTTATTCATATGTGCATGCCTTGAGCAAATTCAAATTACTCATTTATCAATTTATGTTAATTGCTTGTGAGAAGATGCCCTGCTGGTCTTTATAGTTCCCTCAGACACTTTGTAATGATAATTAGACATGCTGCTGTACGGATTAACAGTGCCATAGTCCAATGACGTCTACAGACAATGGAACCAGTTAATCCATCTGTGCTTAAAATTGCATCCCAACTGGAGATGGAAAGAAAAAAAAAAGAGGAGTGAGTGAGGATTAAAAGAATGAGCCTCAGCTTGAAAACGTTCCTTTCATCAGTTTCTCAATTGCAGATCTGCAGTCGGTTTGCCTGTGGTAAGCTATTGGCAGTCAATTAGGTGAAATAAACTGGGAGGGTGACCTTCATTTCCTTTTAATAGCTTTTCCTCCTTGAAATGGGGAGTTTCAGTGGATTTTCATCTTAAATTTTATTCAAGCTGCTTTATTACACTTGACAGATTAGCTTTGCATAAACATACACCCCCCCCCTTAAATATGTGCTGTTTTTCCCCTTCGTATCAAATTTTGACTGTTACTTAGTTGATTTGCTAATCATATCTTAGAAAGCCACACAATTACATCTGTATTTGTCACAATCTCCTCTATACTTTGCTTGTGTAATGAATTACTGTATAAATACCTGATTTGATCTTTGAAATGCAACACATTTTCATTTGTGGTATTTGATTAGTGAAGATCAGAGAAATGTACTTCCTCGCATTGTGTTTTGTTTTTTTTTTAATTCTTTAGGATGAAAATTGAATGGAAAACCTTTAATGAACTGTTTTTAAAGAATATTTTATGCAGTAAAAGGAAATACGTATTAAAATATATGTAAAACATTCTTGCTGGACCTAGTGCAAGTTAGCCAAACCAAATTTTATCATCTCAGGCATGTCACATACCCCTTTTTATAGTCTGCACAGTACAGTCTTCTAAATGTGATAGGATCTACAAGTACCACATGCAATTAAGAACTCTTCTTTGGGGGCGGGAGGGGGTAAGGGAGAGGGAGTAGGCAGATCTTCGGGAGCAGGAATAGAAGCCTCCACCTTTTCTGTTTTTCAAATATCTAAGATGCATCAGAAGAGATACTTTCCTACTTTCCTGTGTCTTCTGAAAGACTTCTGAATGATGCTGTACAAATCCCAAACTACAAATTAGAAAATTAATACCTTGTGCGCAAAATTTAACTCTATAGATACATGCATGCTAAAAGAAGATGCATGATAAAGTTAGATATATGTCCCAGTGATTCTTTACAGTCTTACATGATCAATAATTGTCTTGTGCTGCACAGTAAGTTTCATGCTCTGACATATGCTTGATTTTGTTTGAAAGGGATGGTGTGCATCCTAGAAAACTTGAATAGCATAAAATTGGGTTGACAATTCAGTGGACCTTTGCTCCCTTGCACTGAGCACACAGCGTGTCAAGCCCTCTCCCCAGAGGGGAGGACGCATCAGAAGCCTGTCTGCTTCTGCAAGCGGCAGCTGCACTGAGAGCGAGCATGGCCCAGTTTGATAGCAGCTGTCAGTATTGTTAAGGGATCCGACTTAGTGTAAAGAACAATAGAAGGACCATGCTGTTAAAGTGCAGTGTCTTTCAAGATAAGAAAAGAAATAGTAGTTTAACGGTTTAGACATCTATTATGGACATGAAAGATCATGAAACTTCTTTTCAAAATGCAAATAGGCTGGGCCAACAGTAGTAGATGCAATCAAGCAGCTTCTGACGTCATATACTGAGAATACTTATGTACAATAAATTTTGAGGATGGGAAGAAAGTTTGGTTTTCATAGCCGATAGTCACTTTCATATTTTCTCTTGACTAGATAAAATATGCATTTTTGTTTGGGTTTGACTTTTATCCCCTCCTTCCTTTCTCTCTTTACGGGCCATAGTTTCGTGACTCTAGACAAATCAAAAAACTCCCACTTGGCTTGCCTGAGAGCCATTCTTGTTGCTGCTAGAAGGGAATAAAGCCTTTAATTAGTGGTAAAAACTTTCTGAAATACAAGATGATTTTTTTTACTATGTTTATTTCATACTTTATATGTAAAGATAATATAAATATATTTATTTTATATATATTTTATATATATTTTTGTATTTATATATAAATATAAATATGAATGTGTTTATTATTTTATTTTTTTTATAGTTGGAAAGGTGGATGATGATAGGCTGTGAGGATAGGGACTTTGTAGTCTCATGGGACTGAGATTTTTCAGAGAATTTACCTACAAAGTCAAAAGCCAGGTTTGGAATTGGTATATGTTAAGCACATACGAAAGAGAATGAATTGACACATTAAAAAAAAAAAGTAATATAGTTGGACTTGATGAGCTTGTAAGCAGTGCTAATCATCTGCATTGATTAAAAGTTCTTACTTCAGGAAAGAACTGTGGATGATGCTTGGTTATTAACAGTCATAGCCTTACATTTTTCCTGCATGTTTTTGAAGGCTTTAACTTCCAACCATGGGCTAGCAGTGTGGCTAAACAACCTCCTGGCCTTTTTTTTTTTTTCTTAATGACTCCACTTTTATATTGAAGTCGAATGAAGTAGCAATTTTTCTAGATAAAGAATAAACCAGAAACCTTTAGGAGATAAATGCACCTCTTAACTCCCTGGTACTACTGCACCTGCAGGCAGCATCCACATGTGGGGTTAAGGGAGAATTCGAATTACAATATAAAAAAATTAGGTAGGTTATGATGATTTAACTTGAAGTTGGCGTTTTTTTTCTTTGTGGTTTTAATTTTGTTTGTTTTTTTGGAGGGTTTTTTTGGAGGGGATCTAGCTGGAAAATCAAAGGTGCTCAAAATTCATGCTTTGAAGTTCATGCTAGGAAGTATAGGGGACAACTAAATTGGTCTATCTAGATGTAAACAATGCAAAGTTTGTTAGATGTGCTTTCAAATTAATAAATGAGGTAGGTTTATGAGTAGACAACAGCAGCAAACTGGAATCTTTTTTAGTATTGCTTTTAGATGCATGACTTCGGTGTAACACTGAGTAACCAGGTATCATATTTTTGCCTTTTGAGGCATGTTACTGATGGTTCTGTGAAATATGTATCTTTTGGATTGCCAGTACTCTTGAGACAGATTGAGTTGTAGGCCTTGGAGAGGCCTCTCCACTGTTGCATGAGGTGATTGGCTAAAGGATTAGCAAAATATGGGATTATTTTTTTTCTCTCTCGGCTGTGGTTGCCAGCTATCTCTGGGATTGTCGTGTGTGAAGCTTAAGAGGATGAGGTTAACCTCTTGAGGGTTTGTTCTTATGAGTGTGTAGTTAATCCTTAGAAAGCCCATAAATAACTAGGCTGTATGTTTCATTATAAAATAGAAATACAGACTAGAGCAGAAATGAATGCAGAACTTAGTGCAAGGGAAGAGCTAAGCAGCTGTAGCAGTACTTTAGATCTCTTCAGCCATGATCTGCATTATGTGCTGAGGGAGGGGAAATTGCCTAGTTCTTTTAAATTAAATAAAATGAGATCTAGTGAGCACAAAACTGTCCTCCCTTTCAACGTAAACTAGCTAACCCCAAGTCTGAATTACCTCGGTCTGACAATAGGAACTCTGTGTGGCAGTATCCTGGGTTATTCTTCATATTTTGCCTTTTTTAAATTATATAGAAACCTTAATTGCATACTAGGGTTCTTCACAGTAGATGGTTTGGAATACAAAAGCTTCAGAGCTGTAAACTAATTTTAAAATAGGTAGCAAAGGAAGAAGGTATTTGTCAGCATGACAATTGGTATTGTCAAAATACTAGTTCCTGAACAATGGTCAGATTCTTGTTGTTAGTACCATTAAGTTTTGAGGAAAAATAAGAAAGTGGTATTTATGTTTTGGTAGTTTGTCCTATTCAAAACAGGAAACCTGAAAGAAGGCGTGTAAAATGCGAATGAATAGATAGTGTTAACCAGAATGGTTTTCCACTTGATATCCCCCTGTCTGTGTACTGGTGGGGAAACAGAGAACCCTGGAGAAACAATACAAAGAGACATTTCCTGGAGAACAAAATATTCTCATGAAAGACTCTTCAGGCATTCTTGAGAGGGGAAGTTAACATCCCAAAGTCAAATGTTATTGAGTAGCAGCCTGGACCTCTCTTTATCTTGCAAAGTTGCGTGGGTGGGTGGGTTGAAAAAACAGCATCTTGGATGCTGTTGAAAAATCAAAACAAAAGATTGATAGATCTAGATGGAGAACCATCTACATTAAATATCTAAGGTACAACTCATATGTGAGACGAAGTATATGGTCTTACAAATTTGTGAAGCTGAACAGCTTT